AGCTGCTTATTTCTCTCCACTCACTCACTCCACTCACTCACTCCACTCACTCACTCCACTCACTCCACTCACTCACTCCACTCACCCCACTCACTCCACTCACTCACTCACTCCACTCACTCCACTCACTCACTCCACTCACTCCACTCACTCACTCCACTCACTCCACTCCACTCACTCCACTCACTCACTCCACTCACTCACACCACTCACTCACTCCACTCACTCCACTCACTCACTCCACTCACTCCACTCACTCACTCCACTCACTCCACTCACTCTACTCCCCCCCCCCCCCCCGCTGCTGGTCCGTCATGGTCCCCACCCGCTCCTGGTCCATCATGGCCTATGCACCTACGTACATCGTGCTAATTTTTACGCTAATTCCTTTGTCAAGCGTTTTGCTTCCTCCCACACAGCTTAAAGGACGCGACCTGGGCTTGGCTGTTTTCACTCCAACGCTGTCCTCATGACAGCACGGTCCCTTCACCTGATGAAGGCCACTTGTGTTGTGGCCGAAACGTCGTTATTTTTGTTATTTTATTTTTTACCTACGTGACTTTACCGAATAGAACCAAAGAGTACAGTAACACTTTGTCCACTCCAGTTGCCTGGGTGAAATGTGGGCAACGTTTTACCCAATCCTGGCCTGCTGGCCCAAACATTTATTCAACTAAACTCAAACTGCTACCGGCCAGATAATGAGTGTTTACACGTGGAAGGAAACCAGAGCACCCGGAGAAGCCACGCCTGCCAGGGGGAAAATGCCATCCCGTACAGATGGAACAGATGGAGTCTCCATTTTTGTGCAGTGATCCATCAACCCTCGTCTCCAGTGCTGGATCACAGGCCACGTCCAGAGCCGCCACCACCACGGCTCCTCTACCCACCAGAGTGGTATTGTTTTTCATGATGAAAAGGTATCTCAATACATCCACGTTGATATGGTGATGATAAACATCTTTCTCGGCACCCATAACAGTATGACGATGCACGTGACGATGGAAATTGACATGTGACGAGCTGATGTAAGAAGCAAGCGTTCCACGGCCCATCACGACAGTCGTGCGGCGATTACGATAAAAGCACGCACCCAGCAGCACGACGATTCCAGTACAGCTTCTGAAACATTCTGTCATGCAGCTGCCGCCCGTCAATAGGGGGTCTCGAGCGAGAAAACTGCGCTGCTCAGGAGGAAGAGGAGCAGCAAAACGACACGAACCTCTCACGGCGCTGTCCGCTCTCTGCGCCAGGTCGCATCCTCCTAAAAATAACAAACTTTCGTTTTGAAGAGGGGAGTTTTTGTTGTTGATGTAGCGACATTGCTTGTGGTGCAGCACTGGCGACGTCCACTTTGCTCGCGGTATTGCAATAAAACCATCTCTCATCGCGCTGTAGCCACAAGACGATGCCAATAAAACACGAGGCTTCCTTCAGTGTGTCAACAGCCGACAACATCCTTTAGTATGTCAAAAGGATGACTGATGGTAACGATGAGACCCATTTAAATATACAGTCTCAACAACACGACATAGTATTGTAGTAGATGGTTACCAAGGTGATGGGAATGTCTCTCGAGCAGGAAGATTGCCCGTCGCAGCCTCGCCGTCTCTGCCATCAGCAGTGCCATCAGCCATGATCAGTTCACTGCTGGATGAAGGCCTCTACAAGCCGTCGCCATCTCTCGCGGATCCTGCGAAGTTAGGATCCACCCAGCCGATTTCATCATCGTCCCATCTCTCTAATCACGTTCCATTCCTGGCACCATCGCCCCTTCATCTCGCTACCTGTCCACTCGCTTTGCGTGAGTCGGTGGCGTATGATTCCCACGACACTACGGTATTCTTATCGGAACCCACCGGGCCACGTCTCTCCCAGTTTACCAAGTTAGCATTAACCTCCGTTCAATTATGCATCCGTTACAATCTCTACTTGCCTGAATATTGCTGAACATGTCAACAACGGCTCCCATTTACCACTAAGTGGCGCCTGAGCCAAGCTAGGTGCACTTTGATGCCCCGTGAAGTATCCAAGGCTCGCTGCTGGAAGGTCACGGGAGAGATCCACGGGCCATATGTCGACTGCTGTGCCAGGCTAGGTGCAGAAGATACCGGGACAGACCCAGGTGCTATAGATTGACTAAGATGACCGGCAGAGACACCACCTGTGCTCCTCACCGAGCACACTTTCTGCGTTTTAGTCGCCCGGCGCTCCGCTCGTTGTTGTGAGCATCGTTTCTCTGCCCTCCGTTATTGTTGGAGGGCGATTGCCTTAAACTGCCCGGCAGCGTCCTTCACGAACCTCCTCCTCCACAGAGGCCGATCTTGACACCGCTGGTAAGTCCACTCAGCTCTAGATCCTCCTGTTCTACATCAGCCCATCTCTTCTCTAGCCCGTGCCGTGCCCGTTTCGCCCTCTCTATCCGGTCAAATAGATGCTGCTTGGGCATGCGGTGACTGCCAGCCAGTGGAGCTCGCTGAAGGAACTGTGTCCAGATCATTAATGAATCTGCGAGTTCATCACAATGCAGACTGGATAAATCCACGATGAATCGTAGGCAGGCCAGCTTGAATGTTTCAAACCGCAGCGCATGTTTATTTAAAGGGCTCCACGTTCACAAGCATAGAGAATGAAGGGGACATGTGGAGTGACAGGTCAGGCAGCATCCACACAGCGTTACTCGCACAAAGACAAAGATCCCCCGTGTAGCCTTAACAGACTGTTGGGGCAAGTGCTGTTAGCGATCACCTACGAAGGCCGACACGGCACACGGAGGGGGTGGGTGGCCAACAGCACGCCCGGCCGCATTTATCTCCCCAATGCTGATGTTTTCTGCACCGCACCAGATACTCATTTGATGTCGAGTTGACATCCTCACGCACGCGCGCGGCGGCATTGCACACGCGACAGCGAAGTTCCATGTCCGCCCAGGGCCGACCCAGCTCGCCTGGTTTCACGGGACTCGCCCCCATGGCTCCCTTCTTCTCTCATCCTCCTCCCACTTCCTCGTGTTGCCTAGGCAGCAGCCGCAGCAAATGGGTTAGGGGTCAGTCAGAGATAGAGTTGGGGTTGGGTAGAAGCATAAATCAGGTGACGCTTATGGTTAGGATCAGGGTAGGGGGTTGGGATTAGGGTCGACGTTAATTTTAGGATCAAGGTTATGATCAGGTATCTGGGTAGGGTTATTATCAGGGATAGGGCGAGGGGTAAAGGTTAGGGTCAGGTTGAGGAGGTCCGGCTCGCCCACCTTGTCTACTGGAGAGACTAAAACCCTCGCGCGTTCCCCAGGCAGCGCGCGGTCTCTCATCACAGCCGTGCATAAGCCTCCTGCAGCAGGAGCAGCAGTAGAGCAGACCAACACAGCAAGAGCTCACGACAACCCAACTCCTGCTGCCACGGAATCACAGTCGCGATGCCGGTTACGGGAGTCGTCGTGCTCACACCCGGACAGGCGGCAATCCGAGTTGAGGTCAGGGTCAGCGTGAGGGTTCGGGTTTGTCGTCTTTCCCCCGCACCTCGGATTAGCACGGTTGGCTACGTACGGTGCGAAAGAAGTTCAACGTACGTTAGAATATGAATCGGGGTCACGCAGAGCCAGGCCCAGAAGACTCCATGCAATGACTCAAGCCTCGGCATGTGCTTGTTTTATTAACGACACAAGATTTAATAAGGGAAACGAAAATTCAACCATCAACCAGTGCCACCAACTACTGCCACGAACTCTCAAGATCACCGACACCGCCGCCATCATCAACCTCAGCCGCCCCAGTCCCGCGCCCTCTGGCGTCCGAGGCGGGGCGCTCCCTCCCTGGGGGCCTCGTCGCTCCAGCAGCTTCAGCAGCTCCATCAGCTCCAGCAGCTCCATCAGCTCCAGCAGCTCCATCAGCTCCAGCAGCTCCAGCAGCAGCAGCTCCAGCAGCTCCAGCAGCTCCATCAGCTCCAGCAGCTCCAGCAGCAGCAGCTTCTGCAGCTCCAGCAGCTCCAGCAGCAGCTCCAGCAGCTCCAGCAGCTCCAGCAGCTCCATCAGCTCCATCAGCAGCAGCAGCTCCAGCAGCTCCAGCAGCTCCATCAGCTCCAGCAGCAGCTTCTGCAGCTCCAGCAGCTCCAGCAGCTCCATCAGCTCCAGCAGCTCCAGCAGCTCCAGCAGCAGGTCCAGCAGCTCCAGCAGCAGCAGCAGCTCCAGCAGCAGCAGCAGCTCCAGCAGGTCAAGCAGCTCCAGCAGCAGCAGCAGCTCCAGCAGCTCCATCAGCTCCATCAGCTCCAGCAGCTCCAGCAGCTTCAGCAGCAGCAGCCGCTTGCCCTCCCAGCTCCCAGGTTCGAGGTTACCAGGTGCCGAGTCCCATTTACAAGTCTGAAGGTTCCAGATGCAGAGCTAACAGTCTAAAGGTTCCAGATGCAAAGTTGCAATTCTCAGCCCGACTCGCAGATCCTCATCAGGGGTTCCATGTCTCAGTCGCTGGTTCCAAGGCCCAAAATTTGTGTTCCAGCTCCCAGGTGTGATGAGGTGCTTCCGAACTCTCACTCCTAGGTCTCCTCGCGCCAGTGCTAAAACCCCGGCTCACAATCCCAGCTTGAAAGTCTCAGTCTGAGGTAACAGGTGTCAAGAGTAAGTTACAATCATACACCCTTAGGGGCCGTCCATTAATGATGTCACGCGATTTTGGACGATTTTTGACCCCCCCCCCTCGTCACACAGCGTCACAAAAAGTCAGACCCCCCCTCAAATATGACGTCACAAAGCTCTGCCCCCCCCCCCCAAATATAAAACATGCTTCAAATCGCTTTAAACTATTGTCATTGTAGTGCGTATTTAATGTGGCGCTGAGCTCTGATGTAGGAGAAAACATTTATTAAAAAGTCTATTTAATGAAGTAAAACGTGTTGTCTATATTTAAAGTTGCGCATTTTTATGTGACGTCACATTTTTCACCCCCCCCCCCCTCCTCGTCACACATCGTCACAAATGTCTGACCACCCCCCCCCCCCCCAGGTGGGTGACGTCATTAATGGACGGCCCCTTAATGCCAGGCGCCAATGTCTTTAGTTACAGGTTCCAAGGGGCAGGATGTCTGAAGATGTCCGTCATCAAGACATTGAGGTGGCACCTCCAGATTCTTGCTGCATGGCTGGAGCGGCATGAATATCCAATGATGATTCGTGTCCCCTTCTGATTCGATGCTCTGTCAGGATTCCAGAGAAATCCGGAATGACTACTGATGGACCACCACGTGTCCAGGTCATTATCGTCATTATCAATCCTCATCAATGAATAAAACAACCACCGATCAGCAATACCACCATCGCCACCACTGGCGTTCCCACCACGACCACTAAAACCAGCTCAGCACCGCCGTCAATGCCGCCACCACGGAGACCGGTCGTGGACCTCCCACGCGACGCCATGGCGCCCTCTGCCGACCACAACTCGCCTCTCGGTCCCAGGTCGCCTCGTGCCTCTTCTAGGGCCCGGGTTCCAGACCCCAGACTTCCAAGGCTCAGTCGGAGGTCACAGGTTCGAGGTACCAAGTTTCAAGTTCTAATTACAAGTTCCAGGTCTCAAGCTCAAGTTCTGAGTTTCCTGGTTTCAAGTGTGCGTGAGGCCCTTCTCGACACAACGGCTTATCGTCTCCGCGTGTCCCGGTGCTCGTGATTATCCTAGTGGCGGGCCACCTCCCGTTCCCCACCAGCTTCGAGCGCCATTCTCACGAGTTCTTCACGGACGCTTCATCTCTTGGCCTGATGCCGACAGTGCTCTGTCATCGAGGGAGAATGTGATCCTTTGAGTTCAGCTCCTTAAGAAGCCCCCAGCACGTGGAGCGAAACATCAGACATCGTTCCGAACAACAACGCGTAGAGGCGCGACCTGAAAGTACGACGGACTCGGCAGCTCGGTCGCGAGTAGCCGCACGGCCATAACGTCAGAGCTGGCTTGGAATAGGGATTACTGGCGTAAGGCACTACCACTAGAGTCATAATAATGATACTTTACATTTGTAAGGCGCATTAACATCCGTATATCCCAATGCTCTATTGCTCCATTGGGATCTAGAGTACACGGAATACCTATGCACAATAATCTGATATCATTGTGCCCGATACTCCATGATCAGAGCTTAGTTTCTCGTACCCCTAGAAACAGGTTCAGGACAAGATAAGGTGAGATGGATGCGACGTGGGCAAAACAAATTCCGGAGCAGCGTTCCAGACTGGTCCGACTGAATTTTAGTCACTGTGCATTTACAATCACGACCGATCTTACTACAATAAAAAAACACAACAGAGACTTTGCGATGAGCAGAAACTGGGAGTCGTGGCGCAGTGCCGGGGTGCAGGGGGCGGGCAGGCAGCAGATGACCACGAGTTCAAAAACCCCACGACACCAGACTTCCGTAGTGCGTAGGTTCGATCCCAGGTCCAGGCTACGTCTCCTCGCCACTGCCCTCCCCCTGGGGCAGCGAGACGGGCCGCGAGCCCCGGGGCAGCGTGGCCGGGAAAGGGGGCAGCACCCGCCGCGGCGCTTCTGGGAGTCCGCTCCTCGCGGCGGCAGGGAACCCCGCGTGTCGGCACGGGGAAGGGTTCGGGTCCCGGTCCCGGTCCGGGTCGGGGCCGGGGTCAGGGTCCAGTGAGCGGAGGCGAGCAACCAGGCCACGGGGCAACGCGGGTAACGGCGGCAAGGCGGCCGGGCCTGACCCGCAGGCCACCGGGCAGCAGCAGTTGTGAGGGGGCAGGCCATACGGGTTGGAAGAGGGCAGCAGGAGAGAGAAGGCGAGCGCCAGGAGAACGTGGTAGGCACTGTGCACGTACGTGTACTCTATGTCCTGCAGGGGGCATGAAGGGGGGGGGGGGGGGGCATGGGGTCAGTGGGTTACGAGGTCACGAGGGGGAAAAGGGTCAGATACGATTCTGTAATAATCTGTAACCACCCGTGCCATCACTCGTGCCACCACCTTCCCCCACACCTCCGATTAACAAGTTTGGCTACGTACGGTGCGAAATACGTTCAACATACACCAACTCTCGTACCAACTTCACCACTGCTCGTGCTATAGACTCGCCACCACCTCCACCACGACCCATAACAACCTCGACTATCATCACAATCAGTACCATCACCACCATCATCATCTCTCCATATTACTAGTATAGTCACCGTAATCTAGTGGAATATGTAAAAGTTCCATGCAAGCTCAGGTCCTTGCCTGGTGAAAGTAAATATTTGAGTCCTACCACCCTCGTCCTCCACCATCACCACCGCCACATCCACCCCTACTACCACCAAGTTCACCACCCCCACTCACCCTTGTCTATCACCTTCATCCCCACCACCCCCACTCACCCTTGTCTACCACCTATACCCGCACCTGCACCCCCACCACGCCCTCACCACGTCCCCCACCACGTCCCTCACCACGTCCCCCACCACGTCCCTCACCACGTCCCCCACCACGTTCTCCACCTGTACCCGCACCTGCACGAAGAACCTGAGCGTGAAGGCGAGCCCTGCCGCGCAGCAGCCCGGCCCGATGTGGTGGAGGTAGCTACGCCTCTCCGGGTACAGCCCCTTCACCTGCCGCATCTTGCGGAGCTGAGACAGGGAGTGCGGGGTGGTGCCGGGGGGGGGGGGGGTGCAGGTGGGGGTGTTATGGTGATTGCAGGACCCCCCTCCTTGCCCTCCTTCCTCCCGTCTCCCTCCCCTCCATCCTCACGCTCCCTCCCACCACATAATATCACTGCTGCCATCATCGCCACCAGAATTATAACCTCAAACACCAATACCATCAACGCCACAATCAACGTTACCATCTTAATTGCAACAACCAAAACGACCATCATCTCAACACCACCATCATCTCAACCTCCACCATCATCTCAACCACCACCATCATAACCACCACCATCATCTCAACCACCATCATCACCACCACCATCATCTCCACCACCAGCATCTCCACCACCACCGTCATCTCAACCACCACCATCATCTCAACCACCACCTACGTGACTTTACCGAAAAAACCAAAGAGATTCCTGCAGTCACGAAAGCGCCTAATCAAGTTCGAACCACCATTACGGGAAGGTATGAATGTTGTTGTCTTTGTGTTTCTCTGCTGGTGTGTTTACCTTTGTGTCTTGAGTTGGATTTGTGTCGCTGTGTTGTCTCTGCCTATGGTTGTGTGCCTGGGGACCTCTAGGTGTGCGCTGCTGCGCATTGGGTGCCTGACAACTGTGTGCCTGATAACTTACATCATGCAAATTTGTGTCCCATTGTCTGTGGACCTTGGCCCTCCTACATCGCTCGCCTTCTTAAAGCCTCGGGACAGATTTACTTTATTCCTTAACTGTGCGCGTGTCTCCCCCCCAAAGGTCTCTCTACGGTAAGTATTCTATCACCATCTTAAATTTCACACTTAACTTACAATTTAACAATCTTTGAAACAGCGTATTCAACCAAACCATGCGTCAATTGTGTTTTAACCGACCGTTTGTGTTGCTTTATATAGTTTCCAAATTTTGCTAAACCCTGTTTGATTTAGTGTGATGTTCCGTCTCTCTGTGTCCCCTGGTATATCTATGTTAATTCTCCCTACTTAAGGTCTGTATATATCTGCGATTATGTGTTTCCTCTGCCTGATGATGATTGATTGTGTTGCGATTGAAACGTCGTATGCTATTATATAATTCTATTTTATTTTATTTTTATTATTTCTACGTGACTTTACCGAAAAAACCAAAGAGTAACATCTCAACCACCACCATCATCTCAACCACCACCATCATCTCAACCACCACCAACATCTCCACCACCACCATCATCTCCACCACCAACATCTCAACCACCATCATCTCAACCACCACCAACATCACCACCACCATCATCTCCACCATCACCATCTCAACCACCACCATCATCTCAACCACCACCAACATCTCCACCACCACCATCATCTCCACCACCATAATCTCAACCACCACCATCATCTCCACAACCATCATCTCCACCACCACCATCATCTCAACCACCACCATCATCTCCACCACCACCATCATCACCACCATCATCTCAACCACCACCATCATCTCCACCACCACCATCTCAACCTCCACCATCATCTCCACCACCACCATCGTCTCAACCACCACCAACATCACCACCACCATCATCTCAACCACCACCATCATCTCAACCACCACCATCTCCACCACCACCATCGTCTCCACCACCACCATCGTCTCAATCACCACCATCAACTCAACCACCACCAACATCTCAACCACCACCATCATCTCCACCACCACCACCACCATCATCTCAACCACCACCATCATCTCAATCATCATCTCCACCACCACCATCGTCTCAACTACCACCATCATCTCAACCACCACCAACATCTCCACCACCACCATCATCTCAACCACCACCACCATCTCCACCACCATCTCAACCTCCACCACCATCTCAACCACCACCATCATCTCAATCATCATCTCCACCACCACCAACATCGTCTCAACCACCATCATCAACTCAACCACCACCAACATCTCAACCATCATCATCTCAACCACCACCATCATCTCAACCACCATCATCATCTCCACCTCCACCACCATCATCTCCACTACCACCATCATCTCAACCACCACCATCTCAACCACCACCAACATCTCAACCACCATCATCTCAACCACCACCAACATCTCAACCACCACCATCATCTCAACCACCACCAACATCTCAACCACCACCATCATCTCAACCACCACCAACATCTCCACCACCATCATCTCAACAACCACCATCATCTCAACCACCACCATCATCTCAACCGCCATCATTATCTCAACCTCCACCACCATCATCTCAATCATCATCTCCACCACCACCAACATCGTCTCAACCACCATCATCAACTCAACCACCACCAACATCTCAACCACCATCATCATCTCAACCACCACCATCATCTCAACCACCACCAACATCTCAACCACCATCATCTCCACCACCACCAACATCTCAACCACCACCACCAACATCTCAACCACCACCAACATCTCAACCACCATCATTATCTCAACCTCCACCACCAAGATCTCAACCACCACCATCATCATCTCAACCACCATCATCATCTCCACAACCACCACCAACATCTCAACCACCGTCAACATCTCAACCACCATGAGTCGTCCCCTCTCCCTGCGAGATCGAGTGACTCCCGTGCAGTGGCGGTGCGGCGTTACACGTGACGTCATCATCGTCAATGTTATGGTTGCGTTATGACGCTCTGCTGTATGTCTTTGTATGTTGAACTTGTTTCGCACCGTAGGTAGCCCAGCGTGCTAATCGAAGGTGCGAGGTTGGTGATGGTATTGTTGTTGCTGCTGCTGTTGGTGATGATAATGCTCACAAACTTGGTGGCCACGATGAGCACGGCCCCTCCGATGGGCCCTGAGTAGACCCCGTATCCGTAGGGGTCTTGCGCCACGCGGATCGCCGTGGTGAGGGCCCCCAGCATCGTGGCCGTCGAGCGTCGCGGCTCCCCCAGCTCCCCCACGGCTAGGGGTGGGGGGGGGGGGGGATGAGGTGGTGATGCCAAGTAGTATTTGCAGGATACGCACTGGGGGCAGTGCCGGATTAAGCTCGTGCGGGGCCTGTAGCATGTTGTTATAAAGGGGCCCTACGTAAAAAAAACACACAAATATTAAAACAAACATTTTTTACTTGCATAGTAAAGTAATTGTTTTTTTCATTTGCTATACAGCCAGATAATATGACAAATCGCTAACCTTAAACACCCAGTCGTTCATAAAAGTTGAAGGCAGTAGAGTACTATAGTAATAGAGCAAGAGCACAATCCCTGAACCGGAATTGATAGCTTGAAAGCATTTAGCGCGGGGCCCTTGAAAGTGCCGGGCCCGTAGCTACCACTACTATGTAGCTACTACTACTATGTAGTAGCTACTACTATATATGTAGTAGCTACTACTATATATGTATATAGTAGCTACTACACATATAGTAGTAGCTACTACACATATAGTAGTAGCTACTACACATATAGTAGTAGCTACTACATATATAGTAGTAGCTACTACATATATAGTAGTAGCTACTACACATATAGTAGTAGCTACTACATATATAGTAGTAGCTACTACATATATAGTAGTAGCTACTACATATACATATATAGTAGTAGCTACTACATATATAGTAGTAGCTACTACATATATGTAGTAGCTACTACACATATATAGTAGTACCTACTACATATATAGTAGTAGCTACTACACATATATAGTAGTAGCTACTACATATATAGTAGTAGATACTACACATATAGTAGTAGCTACTACATATATAGTAGTAGCTACTACTACATATGTAGTAGTAGCTACTACTATATAGTAGTAGCTACTACTACAGTAGCTACTACATATATAGTAGTAGCTACTACTACATATGTAGTAGTAGCTACTACTATATAGTAGTAGCTACTACTACATATGCAGCTACTTTTGCTACTCGGATAATCCGACACTGACCAGGGGTATCGCGTTGGCCGCTTGTTGCAGAAGGTACGCGGTTCTCCCCAGCCCCCCCTGTGCCTCCCTCCCCCCGTGCCCCCCTCCCCCCGTGCCCCCCACCCCCCGTGCCCCCCACCCCGTGGCCCCCGTACCCAGGATGGAGATCCACAGGGAGAGCGCCTCGCTGTAGACGCTGAAGTACAGCAGCAGCTCGGGGCGCAGCGCGCACCACGCGAGGGAGTCGGGCCCGTCGCACGCGTGCCAGCCCTGCACCACCACCACGCGGCAACCACCACGTGTCATTAAGGCGGCAGCCACCACGTGTCAACCAGGCGGCAACCACCACGTGTCAACCAGGCGGAAACCACCACGTGTCATTAAGGCGGCAGCCACCACGTGTCAACCAGGCGGCAGCCACCACGTGTCATTAAGGAGGCAGCCACCACGTGTCATTAAGGCGGCAGCCACCACGTGTCATTAAGGCGTCAACCACCACGTGTCAACCAGGCGGCAGCCACCACGTGTCATTAAGGCGGCAGCCACCACGTGTCATTAAGGCGTCAACCACCACGTGTCAACCAGGCGGCAACCACCACGTGTCATTAAGGCGGCAGCCACCACGTGTCATTAAGGCGGCAGCCACCACGTGTCATTAAGACGGCAGCCACCACGTGTCATCAAGACGGCAACCACCACGTGTCAACCAGGCGGCAGCCACCACGTGTCATCAAGACGGCAACCACCACGTGTCATTAAGGCGGCAACCACCACGTGTCAACCACCACGGGGCAACAACCACGCGTCAACCACCACGCGTCAACCACCACGCGGCAACCAAGCGGCAAACGCCACCATGGGAATCAAGTTGTCATCACCAAGCGGCCCAGCGGTAGCGCGTTCGCCGCTTGTTGCAGAGGTTCAATGCCAGCGGCGGCCATGGTAAATACTGCGGGTGGGTTAACCATAAAACACGACTGCACGCCGTTTTCTCCATGGCGAACGTTAAAGTTCCCGAGACGATATTCGATAATGAGTCAGACGCCATCGTGTGCCGGGCAGATTTGTCAGATTTTCTGCACACAACGAACCTGGCGAGCAGCAACGAGGCGGCGATGCCACGTGCCCCTCCTGGCCGACTCCACGCCCCTCCTGGGGTGAGGTCGCTGGCTCCTCGCATCGGCGCTCAACTCGAGTCACGGATGCGCTCCCGGGAAGCACTTCGGCGTCGCGATCTCAGACTAATAACTTCTGGTTATAAACCTCTTGATGAGATTGCACTGATACCACCGACACATGTAGGAGTATTATAACAAATACGCGAACCTTGAACTCCCAAGCCACCCTAGCAGCAAGGTTCCGGAATATACCGAGTGGGAAATTGAGCTCCGATAATTATTGTTTTATTCTTAATATCCCCAAACACCTCTCCCAATCCCTCGGGGGTCCCTCAATCCTCCCCCCCCCCCCACTGACCGCGAGGAAGAAGGAGGAGAATGCGAAGACGAGGCCCTCGCAGTAGAAGCGGCGACGCACAGCGAGAGCCGCGGGGCCCAGCAGCAGCAGGCAGCTGGCGCTGGGCACGGCCAGCCGAGCCACGGCCTCCTCCATGCCCTCACCCCCCTCGCCCCCCTCCTTAGGCCATCCTCGAGCTCATGGATTAGGGGTCAGAGGCAGGGAGCGCAGCCACTGCGGGAGGTGAGCGAGGTCCTCACACCCCCAAAATGTCCTCAGGTGACCTCAGAGAGACCCCCAGAGCAGTGAGGGCGAGCGCAGCACCGCCGAGTCCGCTCCTGCGTCGGCGTCCGTGCCGAACGACTCCTCTAATCCGCGACGAGGTGATGGGAGTCGGGGGAGGGGGATATTTTTCAGACCCTATCTGAAATCGAACCGTGCCACCAGCGCTCACTAGGGTACCGCTCCCCGCTACGACTCCAACTTCCAGAGGTCCGCTGCGTCCTCTCGCGAAGGTCCCTGTCCGCTGCGATACCCCCTCGATCGGTGCTGACGCTGTCCGAGACTCCGGTTAAATGTCCCGGCAGCGTGTAGCGTAAAGTTTAAATGCCGCCCTGCACCCCCCCCCCCCGTCACTAGAGACAGCTGTGGAGGCGGCGGCTGTGTTGAGGCCAGGAGACACAGCGAGGGCATTGTTGAGAGGGGCTCGGCACGGGGTTGTGACGGGGGAGGCTCTGGGGGGCCCCGACAGCCCGGCAGGTGCGGCTGGAGCAGCTGCTGCTCGGGCTGGGTGGTTAAATTTAGCCCGCGCCTTCCCCCGCGAGTCCTGGACTCGGGAACTCTCCTCTCGTGCTCTCTCTCCCCCTCTCTCTCAGCTCCTCTTCCTCCTTCTCCTCGTCGTCGTCTTGGGGCGGCAGCGCAGTGGTGACACTCGCGACTCACAACAACAGGGGCCTTGGTTCGAGCCCCACTCACGGACACCACCAACACCATTGACGAATATCCCGGTCGATTCAGTCTCAAATGAGTACCTGATGCGGTGTGTAAAGCATCAGGACTGGGGAAACAAAGGCGGCCGGGCGTGGTGTTGGGCACCCACCTCCTTGTGTGCCGTGCCAGCCTTCATAGGTGCTACTCGCTGACAGCACTTCATGTCGGGGGATCTTCGCATTTGTCTCCTGTGTGTGCGAGTTCCCAGGTGTGCATGACTTTATTGACACTGTGCACGAGTTTGGGGAGCGTCTTACTTTCAGGAATGTCTTACTTTCAAGAGCGTCTTATAATGCGGAGAATGCGGTGTGCCGCGCTCGTGCGAGAACCATCTCCTCTCATCGCATGGCCTCTCCTCCACCGCCTCCTCGATTCTTGACCTCGTATCACCCCTTCTCCACTCTCCCGCATTCCCCGAGCTCCCCCATCACCCTCCGCCCGCATCTCTCCATTCTCACCTCCTCCCTCTCCTTCTCTCGTGCGTCTTCTCTTTACTACTCCCTCGTTTTTCTGCAACTCTCACTGTCTTCCATGTTCCGTCTCCTCTCTTCCCTGCTGTTTCCCATCCTCTCCTCCGCGCTCTCCACATCTCTCACCTCACCTCGTGTAGCTTCCCTTCCTGCACTCTCTCCCTCACCCTCTCATCCACCCCCCCCCCATGCTCTCCCCGTCCGGGCTACAGAGAGTGTGGGGGAGGGGGTCACGTGGGACAGTTTTGCCCCGGGCCTCAGATCCGAGGGGACCTCAGTGGTGGCCTCATCTGGTGTTTTGGCCCGGGCCTTTCGGAGGCCCTGTCCCATCAAATCGCTTACTCCCCCTCCACCCCTCTCTCCACCCCTCTCTCTCTCCACCCCTCTCTCTCCACCTCTCTCTCCACCCCTCTCTCCACCTCTCTCTCCACCTCTCTCTCCACCCCAATCTCCATCCTGCGCTCGCACCCCTCTCTCCACCCTGCGCTCGCACCTCCTATCTCCCATCCTGGTCTCCCTTTTTCGCCATCTCGCCACACGACGGCTCTCTTCCCCGTGTCTCCATTCTTTCTCTCCTCATCCCGTTCACCCTGTCTCCCGTCCTCGCCTGACCTCCCTCCAGCGTCCCGCTCTGCCTGCTCCCCCCCCACCTCTCTGCTTCCCTCTCCTGACCACGCTGCCCGCACAAAGCCCTTCTCTCCACTGCTCCCCCCTAATCCTCCCTCTGCGTCCCCAGCAGCTCCGGCTCAGGGTACCGGCCACGGCCAGTGTGGGACCCCCTGAGACAGCTCAGGGGGCTTGGGCCGAGCATCTCAGCGACGCGGGTTGAATGCCTCCGACACAGCCATTATTAATCTGACACGATCATTACGAACCCTGCGATCCGTGTTCATCTTGAGACCAGATCATCTGGACCGCCCGAATGATCAACTTCCTCAAAGGCTGTGGAGGGGACCCGGACTGTAGGGGGGAGGGGAGTCCCTGCCGGCACGCGCCCAGGACCCCTGTAAATCCCCTCCGCGTGTCTCGGGCCCCGGCAGCAGCTGTCGGTCACGGAGCCACGAGCGGTGACGGCGGCGAAAGGATAAACAGCAGGTGGCGGAGATAGCAGCACCCCACCCGCTCACCCACCTGTGCACTCACCCACCCACTCACCCACTCATGCACTCACCCACCCGCTCACCCACTCACCCACTCGTGCACTCACCCACCCGCTCACCCACTCATGCACTCACCCACCCGCTCACCCACTCACCCACTCATGCACTCACCCACCCGCCCACCCACTCACCCACCCGCTCACCCACTCACCCACTCGTGCACTCACCCACCCGCTCACCCACGCTCCCACCTGCTCACCCACCCACCCGCTCACCCACTTACCCACTCGTGCACTCACCCACCCGCTCACCCACTCATACACTCACCCACCCGCTCACCCACTCACCCACTCATGCACTCACCCACCCGGTCACCCACTCATGCACTCACCCACTCACCCACTCGTGCACTCACCCACCCGCTCACCCACTCACCCACTCATGCACTCACCCACCCGCTCACCCACGCTCCCACCTGCTCACCCACCCACCCGCTCACCCACTCACCCACTCACCCACTCGTGCACTCACCCACCCGCTCACCCACTCATACACTCACCCACCCGCTCACCCACTCACCCACTCATGCACTCACCCACCCGCTCACCCACTCATGCACTCACCCACCCGCTCACCCACTCACCCGCGCTCCCACCTGCTCACCCATCCACCCGCTCACCCACACATGCACTCACCCACCCGCTCATCCACCCACCCGCTCACCCACATGCACTCACACATTTACCCACGCACTCACCCATGCACTCACGCATTCACCCACGCACCGAGTGGAGATGTCAACGTGAGGGTTTATTGACCGATACACTTTAAAACGACAACGGCGACAGTCGTAAACGATGCTGATGATGCTGATAAAAATGAAACCGCCCAGCGAGAAACCCTCGGGCCCCACTCGGAATGTTTGCGATGACCCCGCTCACCGATCCCTCGATTCCATCCCTCGCTCGCGCGGCGTGAGCGGTTGTGGTAACAGACAAAGATCCCCCGTGTAGCCTTTAACAGGCTGTTGGGGCAAGTTATGTTAGCGAGCACCTATTAAGGGCGGCACGGCACAAAAAGGGGGTGGTGTAGCCAGCACCACGGCCGGCCGCCTTTCTCTCCCCGGTGCTGATTTTACACACTGTACCAGGTACTCATTTCAGGCTGAGTCGACCTAGGGGGTGCCTAGGACCGGTTCAGATATTCGTCACCGGTGTTGGCCGTGAGTGGGAATCAAACTTGGGTCACCGGGCGCACGAACGACTGCGCCACAGCTCCCCGAAACGCGCACAGACACAGGCCGCACGCACTCGCTGACACACACACACACACCACACACACACCACACATACAGGCACCCTCATACATACACACACATGCCGCATACTCTTACACACATAGCGCAAATACAAATAAAGCCGGACTCATACCACACACATACCACACACATACCACACATACACACACGGGTGCAAATACTCACACACTACATCGTACACACTCGAATACACACAGATACACACCACAACACACCCACAGATACACATCACACACCACACATACACACACCACATTGCGATGTACATACTACACTCTACAGTACACACACCGCAGGACCAGACACAAACACACACATCGCTCTCTACCCACACTGTAACCCCACCACACCACACGGACAACGCACACCGAGAAAGCAGCGTTCACCACCGCCTGACGTCGTCTCTGGAGGGCGAGCGCCTCTCTCTCCCCCTCCTCCTGCCGTCCCCATCCCGGCGCGCACCCTCAACCTCGCCCTCCGCGCCCACCCAGAAGACCAGGGGTCCAGGGCCCCCACCACCCCCGCACCAAATCGTGAATGCTGGGGCCACAAGCGCACGGACTGGGGGCCCAAGTAGGGCACCGTTTTGGTTGCTGGGAGGCCGTCTGCCCCTGAGGGTGGATCGCACGGAACCGTCGCTCACAGAGCGTGGGGGGGGGGACCCAGACGGAGTGGGGGGCTCAGAGCGAGGTGCCCACGAGAGGAGCGGCAGGGGCCGCGGGGAGGGGAGGGGAGTGGACGGGGCCCGGGACGGGGAGCGTGGGACCGCAAGGTCACTGCACCGTGAACTCTGACCCTCTCCGCCTCGCCCCCAGCCAGCCACGATCCCCGGGCAGCAGCGGTGGCGGCGTTCGGATTACGGACTCCGTGGGGGGCACGCGGAGTACGCACTTCACGGGCGGTACAGACTCCGCAGGGGGTACGGACTCCGCAAATGGGGGGGGGGGGGGGAAGGCGCCACCTTCACCGCGTGCGCTCCGTGACAGTGACTGGTCACATGACCCTCTGCACTGCATGGACACGTGACTGGTGACTGGTAACTGTTCAGCTTCTCACGGTTCACTACAAACCCCCCTCTCCCCCCCCCCCCCCCAAATTATATTTGCTGAATCGTCACGACACGCCCCGTTTTGATATCCCCTTTGTATTGTTTATCTCTTTTGGGGGTTTTGCTCATTCGGTTTTATCCATCCCACCCCCCTCCCCATTACCAGAAACGTAACACAGGCGGTCGACCCGCGTGCGATTCACGTGGCTACCGAACGAACGATTGATTGATTTTTGCACGCAAGGTTGAATTGAGCAGTCATGTCGCCACGTGGCCCGAGATGAATGCTCACGCACACAGACACACGGACAAACGGACACACACGGACATACGGACACACACGGACATACGGACACACACGGACATACGGACACACACAGACACATACGGACACACACGGACACACACGGACACACACACAGACGGGGGGTGGTCGGGAGGGGTGGGGTGGGGAGGGGCAGCGGTCGGTGCAGGTCGGCGTGCCGGGGGTCGGGCGGTGCAGCACGGCGGAGGCGGTCACCACTTCTTCTTCTCGTCGACGGAGACGCCCCCGGGGCCGAGCGCCACGACGAGCAGCAGGCCTCCGGTGACGGACAGCGTCTGGAAGAAGTCGTACTTGAGGAAGTCGTGCAGGGGCTTGTGGGCCGCCACGGTCCAGAACGCGTTCAGGTAGACGTTGAGCGCCGAGAGCCACAGCACCAGCGTGAGCGCCGCCAGCTTCGTCTTGTAGCCCACGGCCACCAGCAGCATGAGGGCCGTGCCCACCACGTCCTGCACCACCTGGTGGCCCCACGCACGACAGCAGGCAAACATCCCCCGTGTAGCTTCGGACGGTCGGGGCAAGTGCTGTTAGCGAGGAGCACCTATTAAGCCCCCGTCACCCCCACCTCAAGGATCCCCTCTGCCCTTGAGCCCCCCCACCAGCCCCCTATGACTTCACTAGGGCCTCGCCCCCCAGGGCCCCACTCCACCCGTATCATCCCCTCTCTCTATCAGCCCCCCAAATCCCCCTCTCTATATAAGCCGCTGGTATACATTTCCAAATGAAAAAGAGCGAAATGCTCGGCGAGCCTTAGCTGGAAACGAAATAGATCCATCCCTCAGTAACCTCCGCTCGAGTCCCCCTGCACCCCGCGAGTCCCCACCTCCGGCCCCTACTCACGGAGAGCGCGCTGGCCTCCAGGTGCAGCAGCGTCATGAACATGAGCACCAGCAGCAGCCTCCCGCCCAGCTGCAGGAGGTGGCGGGGGGACGTCCCCCCGGCGCTGGGGACCCCCGCAAACATCGACCGCCCCTCGGAGCGCGACTCGGCCAGCAGTAGCAGCAGCCCCCCGCCCAGAGCCAGGTTCCTGGGGGGGGGGGAGGGGCGGGGGGAGAGGGGGGGCCGGTGTGAGGGGGCGCTTCTGGTATCTTGGCGAGCGATGATGCGTCGATCCGCCGATTTAAAAATCGGAATGCGTCCCCCTGGGGAATGGCCCTCGCGGAGACGGAGCGGTTGAAATCGGCTCAGGGCCGAGTCGGCGCCGCCTGGGCCGCCGCTTCTCAGCATCGTGCGAGACGCGCGGTGCCTGGGAGCAGGCCTTCATCCAGCAGTGGACCGAACGTGGCTGACGACGACGCTGGCCGGCGTGTTTCCTGGCCCGCAGGTGTTCGCGTGCCCCTCACGCACACCCTCACCTCATGAGGAACTTGATGTCCCACAGGATGCTGTAGGCCACGGTCTGCGAGGAGATGGAGGTGATGGAGGGGGGGAGAGGGCACACACGTGGACCATGACTAAGCGGCTGCCAGAGAGCAGCACTCTCCCTCCCTCTCTTCCATATGGCATTTGAGAGTACGTCCAAACGTTTGTTATTGTGCACTCCTGCGACGAGTCCAGTCCATCGCTGATGCGCCGCGCTGATCACGGACAGAATAAGCTCTGGTGACGATGATGACGACGATGATGATGACGATGATGACGACGACGATGGTGACTATGACGACATTGATGAGCTCACCTGCAGAGCGATGATGACGAAGAGGCCGCAGCAGGCGTGGGGAACAAACTTGCGGCACAGGATGAGGAGGCAGCCACCTGCAGGGACACGGCAGGGACATGATGAGGCCGGAGACAGACCCCGAGCCCAAGCCTAACCCCTCACCCTAATCCCTAAACGCTAGCACTTAAGCCGACCTCTAAAAGTGACGCCAACATTAACCCTCAGCCTAACCAGAGCAACGATCCACATAAGAGCCATAACCATAGCAACGATCCACATAAGAGCCATAACCATAGCAACGATCCAAATAAGAGCCATAACCATAGCAACGACCCAGACTAGAGCTGGGATCTCTGATTATTCAAGTGATCGAGAAAAACACTGAGCTCCCACCTCCCCCCATCCCCCACCCCCCTCCACCGCCTCTGTACACGCAGCAGGGTAAATGGTGGAAGAGCAGGCCAAATACCCTCTAGAGCTGCACCAAGTGGAGGCCCCTCCGTCAGCAAGTGGCACCTTTACCTGTCAACTGAGAACGGAGGGCACGTGAACCACACTGTGACTTAGGCCTGCACCGTGCGGTTTGTACGTCTGCGTGTACCAATCACCGCATTCGTTACTAACACTCTACTTGAACCGGTTTCTGGTTCCTGACTCTCGGAACCAGTAACTAATTCTGTTTACCGGTTGACCGTTTGACAGCGCTAACTCCGGTTGTTATCCTGAACGGCACCGGACAACCCAAGCCCCTCTATCCCCACCTCCCCCACCCCGGTGAAACCTCAGTTGGGGGGGGGGGCTTCCGGCCGGGGGGGGGGGGGGGCCCGTACCTATCTGGCCGAGCAGGTTGACAAGCACGAACATTGTGGCGAGCGCGGCGCCGCCGCCCCAGCTGCCCTCGATGTAGTCGCGCTGCTCCGACCACTGGAACCACATGCGCACGCCGTCCTCCAGGAAGGTGCTCACCAGGCAGAGGCGCGCCGCGTGCGGCAGGTAGTGCTTGGTCACGCGCAGGAACTACGGGGGGCGGGGGGGGGAGACGACGTGCGGGTTCCCGTCAACGTGGAAACGTTGGCGTCGTGGTTGGAACCGGTGGGCCGATGGTGGCCCGACGGTGCGCTCGACTTTGTCCCGCCGTTTGCTCGACGTCGGCCCAACGTTGAGCTGTTGTTGGGTCGACGTTGGCCCGAGGTTGTATGTACGTTAAACTTCTTTCACGCCGTATCTAGCCCACTGTGCTAATCGGAGGTGCGGAAGCTTGGCCCAATGTTCCATGTTTAGCGGGGGGCAGGGTGATTTTCAGCTCAAATCACTGTTATGGCGATGCTCATCTCTCGGATACAGCTCCGACTGAGCCCTTGGTAGAAATTCAACGTTCCCATGGCAGGGGAGGGGGCGAGTTAACACATCAACCGCTGTTGGCTTCCACACAAAGCGGTACTTATTTGAATTTTATCGACCGTGGACAGAGGGATGATGGGCCGAGTCAAAATGCCAAACGGGAGTTAGAATTCGCGACCTTCCAAAGGCGAACCGCTTGCTCTCCCGCTGAGCCCCCTCGTGGGGGTTCGACCACCGTAGACCGAGGACCCCACCGCGGTCGTGATCAGCTGGAGCGCGGGCACAAGGTGGATGAATCACCGCCAACACAAGACAATCATCGCCAGGACTCCCCGCCCGCGCCGCCTCTTGACTAATCGATGGCGTTGATAGCAGCAAGGGTGCCTGGCCAAGGTGTCTACTCAAGAAGGAACCTCGTTGTGGTGGAATTCGTTTCTCACTGAATCAGTCTCTGTGTCTCTGTTTCTCATTCTGGATAAATTATTTTTGCACCGTTCCCGCTGTGGGCAGCCGCCCCTGCACGCCCACCGCAAAGGCAGAACCCGGCTGGGAGAACCATAGGTCCCCTCTGAGATCGAACCTTCTCTGGGGTTCAAGGTTTTGACAGCCTGGCTCTGTGGGAGAACACGTGGCAGGATGTGAACTCCCAGCCATCTGCCTCCAAAGTAAACACTCTCAAGCGCAATGCCTGCCACTCGCACACGCCAAGGACAAAGATCCCCTGTATAGCCTGCACACACTAACAGGGCAAGTGCTGTTATCCCGCACCTATGAAGGCCGATACGGCATACCACGGGGTGGGTTGATGGGCAACACCACGCCTGACCACCTTTTTCTCCCCAGTTCCAATGTTTATACAACGCACCAGGTACTCATTTGAGGCTAAGTCGACCTACAACTCCCTTTGTCTACCAATACCCGCGCCATTCGCTACTAAGTGACGGTGACGTCACCACGGCGCCCGTGCCAGGCCAGGTGCACTTTGAGGCCACGTGAAATGTCGAAGGCTCGCTGACAGGAGGTCTGCACTGCCACTCACACAAACACGTACACTGACGCGCCTCTCACACTGGGCCTCCACGTGCTATTGTAAGTTTAGAACTCCCTGGGATTCCGCACGTCTGTGAAACCCCCCTGCCCACTCGGGCTTAGTTGGTTTGACCCGTGACGTCTCCCGCGGTGTGGACGTGGCCTGTCCGCCCTGCCCAGCCACGTGCTCCGATAACAGCCGGCTCCGCGTGCTCAGCCGCAGACGATTGGTCCGATCGGATCGGAGCAATCGGAAGGGAAGATTGATCCGAACAGAACATTGATCCGAACAGAACTCCACAGCCCCGTGCATTGGGCGAGGGTTGGAGGATGCTGGCCCGATGGTTACAACCACACGCCAACGTTGGCCCAAAGTTGATTAGAGAATGATGTCCAACTCGGACTAGGATCCGTATCAAGGGCTGCAGGCTGAGAATTACGTCCAGGTTTAGGTCTGTGTTATAGGAGGCGACCAGGACCCAAGCCTAACAGAGACAGGGCCCTTGCCATTACACATCCGGCAGTTCACCTGCAGCATTGGTTGCGAAAAACCTGCTGATGTGACACTTCAGTGTCGAAACCGCTCCAGAGGTTGCTTGTATTTAACTGCTGAAATTGAGCACTCCCAAAAGGCCGTGCGGTAAAACGTATACTGTACTGAATGTGGAGTGACAGATAAGGGAAGTCGAGTTTGTTTGGTTATTTAGTTATTTATAGTCTCCACACCGACGCCGATTGTCGTGTTTAACGCTGTGCCGTGCCTCCTCACACAACATCACGTGGTTCCCGTAAACCTGCCCCGAACAACACAGAGCCCCAACCACCACACACACACGAGCGGAGAGTCGCCCCCTTGTCGCTCTTCTATCGCCTGCCACCGTGGTCGCTGTTGTCCTGAAACTCCACTCGTGCATTCGCCCTCCCCGTGAACGAGGACTCGGCACACTGTGACGTCACTCACACGCCACCACGCCGAACCGGGTTCGTGCGTGATGACGTCACCACGCCCCCCCCCGGCTGTAGACCCCCCCCACCCCTCCCCCAAAAAAGATGCAAATATATTTATATATTTCACAAAATCACAAAGTGAATTTGTAACTCATCCGCTATTAACCATTAAATGGCCGCTTAGCCAAACTGTTTCCAGGGTGATTGAGGCAGTGGTGACGCCTCCTCCTCCTCCTCGGCGCTCCGACGCGTCGAGGTGCGGTGCTGAATTCGGGGGCTCGTGGCAGGCAGCCTCGTGTCCCCGCGGGGCGCAGGGCGTGATGGGCACTCGTCTCTCAGCCTTACCGCGAGCACAGCAAACCATCAGCTGATGATGTCAACTCGTGGTGAGGGCGCGCCACAGCCGCGCAGTGTCCGCTCGCTCTCGTCCAGAGAGAGACACGGAGAGAGAACGACTCGAGAAGAGAACGACGCGTAGAGAGAGACACGGACAGAGAACGACTCGTAGAGAGACACGGAGAGAGACACGGAGAGAGACACGGACAGAGAACGATCGAGAAAAGAACGACTCGTAGAGAGAGACACCGAGAGAGAACGACTCGTAGAGTGAACGACTCGTAGAGAGACACGGAGAAAGAACGACTCGAGAAGAGAACGACTCGTAGAGAACGACTCATAGAGAGAGACACGGAGAGAGAACGACTCGGAGAGAGAATGACTCGAGAAGAGAACGACTCGAGAAGAGAACGACTCGGAGAGAGACACGGAGAGAGAACGACTCGAGAAGAGAACGACTCGGAGAGAGACACGGAGAGAGAACGACTCGAGAAGAGAACGACTCGTAGAGAGAGACACGGAGAGAGAACGACTCGTAGAGAGACACGGAGAGAGAACGACTCGGAGAGAGACACGGAGAGAGAACGACTCGAGAAGAGAACGACTCGGAGAGAGACACGGAGAGAGAACGACTCTAGAAGAGAACGACTCATAGAGAGAGACACGGAGAGAGAACGACTCGTAGAGAGACACGGAGAGAGAACGACTCGTAGAGAGACACGGAGAGAGAACGACTCGGAGAACGACTCGAGAAGAGAACGACTCGGAGAAAGACACGGAGAGAGAACGACTCGAGAAGAGAACGACTCGAGAAGAGAACGATTCGAGAAGAGAACGACTCGGAGAGAGACAAAGAGAGAGAACGACTCGTAGAGTGAACGACTCGGAGAGAGACACGGAGAGAGAACGACTCGAAAAGAGAACGACTCGTAGAGAGACACGGAAAGAGACACGGAGAGAGAACCACCCGTAGAGAGAACGACTCGTAGAGAAAGACACGGAGCGAGAACGACTCGGAGAGAGAACGACTCGTAGAGAGAGACACGGAGAGAGACACGGAGAGAGAACGACTCGTAGAGAGAACGACTCGCAGAGAGAGACACGGAGAGAGACACGGAGCGAGAACGACTCGGAGAGAGAACAACTCGTAGAGAGAGACACGGAGAGAGACACGGAGAGAGACACGGAGAGAGAGACATGGACAGAGAACGACTCGGAGAGAGAACGACTCGGAGAGAGACACGGAGAGAGAGACACGGAGAGAGAACGACTCGGAGAGAGAACGACTCGTAGAGACACGGAGAGAGACACGGAGAGAGAGACACGGAGAGAGAGACTCGGAGAGAGAACGACTCGTAGAGAGACACGGAGAGAGAGACACGGAGAGAGAGACACGGAGAGAGAGACACAGAGTGAGAACGACTCGGAGAGAGACACGGAGAGAGAACGACACGGAGAGAGAACGACTCGGAGAGAGAACGACTCGGAGAGAGAACGACTCGGAGAGAGAACGACTCAGAGGCGCCAGGAAGAGCAACCACAGCACGAAGGGGAAGGCAACCCAGGCGGTGAGGAGCCGGTGCCAACAATTACCCAAGCTCTGCGATCCTCTATATACGATGGTGTTATCGGCCAACCCGCGCGTGCTAGTGGGGTAAACGCTCCATCCCGTACAGAGAGGGAACAGGCGGAGTCCGCATTTTCGCTTTGCTGCCTTCTCAATAGCGAAGTCACGCGACGCTGTTATCGCGATAATCGTCGCATCGCGAGCATGCAAACAGTTGTCGTGTCGAGGAGGACGGCATCTCAGCAACCCGAGTGACGCTCCGTTCGGTTCGGAGCACGTGTGGTTGTTACGTCTCATTAGTTGGCAATCCATCGATGTCTCCAGCAATCAACCACGACTTCAGCCAATTAAACAACAATTAGAGAGATACAGAGACAGACGTGAGTGTTACAGAGAGACAGACGAGTGTGTTACAGAGAGACAGAGACAGACGAGTGTGTTACAGAGAGACAGAGACAGACGAGTGTGTTACAGAGAGACAGAGATAGACAAGTGTGTTACAGAGAGACAGAGATAGACAAGTGTGTTACAGAGAGACAGAGACAGACGGGTGTGTTACAGAGAGACAGAGATAGACGAGTGTGTTACAGAGAGACAGAGATAGACGAGTGTGTTACAGAGAGACAGAGATAGACGAGTGTGTTACAGAGAGACAGAGACAGACGAGTGTGTTACAGAGAGACAGACGAGTGTGTTACAGAGAGACAGAGTCAGACAAGTGTGTTACAGAGAGACAGAGACAGACGAGTGTGTTACAGAGAGACAGAGATAGACAAGTGTGTTACAGAGAGACAGA